TAGATATCCAGAACTCACTGCCTAAAAAAGTGTATCAATAAGGCCTTGTTCCCAAGTTATGTAGTTTATAGAGCTGTGGTCAGTAATATAAATATAATTACAGTTCTTAAATGTATGTGGATTCATTTATGTACTTTCTATTGTTTGATTTAGCTTGATTTATGGAATTGATGATCAAATTGTACAAGAAAACAATTTGCCTGTTTTGATTTATGATTTATAGAAATGTTGACAAACATTTCTTGTCAAGACATTTAAGCATTTAGATGAGGACTTGAAATGCCATTACATACAGGACTACAGGCCAAGTGCTGGGAAATGGATTTAGAATAGATAAATGCTTGGTGACCGATGCTAACATGATAGGCTGAAGGGCCATGATATTAAAAACTCTATGACTTGATCACGGCCCACCTTTAACTTCAAATCTGTTTTCTCACACTATCCCATTTTTCCTTAATTCCCTTTGTATTCAAAACTTTATCGATGTTGAACTCAAACATACAATATACTGAGCATTCACAGCTCTTTCAGGCAAAAAATTACCAAGATTCACAATCAGTTGAGTGAAGGAGTTTCTCCCCTTCTCCATCTTAAATGGTTCTAGATTCTCCAACTAGGAAATCATTTTCTTTGCTTCTACCTGTTAATACTCCTATCAGAACTTAATGTGGTTCAATTACGTCATTTTGTATTCTTTAAATTCCAGGGAATGTAGGACTATTCTTCGCATTCTCTCCACACAGGACAATTCCTTCATTCCAGAAATCAGTCTAGTGAACCTTTGTTGCATCCTCACTATGGCAAGTATACCCTTCCTCATGAGACTAAATTGCAGAAAGCTTTTGGTGTGGCATCACCCATGCTCCATATAATTTCAGTATCATTTTTTATTCTTATGCACTTACTATTATGTAACAAAATTTAACATATCACTTATTTTCCTAATTACTTGCTGTACTTGTATGTTAACCTTCTGTGATTTATGTACAATCAAGAACAATAAAGTTAAGAATGCAAACGTTGCCCTGCCTTTTATCATTCAAAACAAAAACATTTTTAAATTGTTTTTCGAACAAAGTGGATATATTCACAATTCGTCACCTTGTATCCAGTTTTCTTGCGCACTCATTCAAGCTGCTGATACAGCTCCTCAATACATACACCGTAAAACAAAAGCAGATGTAGGCCATTTGACTGAACAAGACTACTCTGCCATTCAATGAGATCATGGCTGATATGATAATCCTCAAATCCACTTTCTTGCCTTTTCTGACAACTCCTGATTCTCTTACTGATTAAAATCTGTCCATCTCAGCCTTGAATATACTGAATGACCCAGCCTCAACTTCCCCAATTAACTTTGTATCATTAGCAAATATTGATACTGAAATAAAATCGAGAGAGGCCGGCATTACATCACCAAGTCACCCTTTACTTATACATGGAAAGTCCTTGACACTCCCTCAGAGCCAGGTCTAAGTGACAGGATCTCTGACATTCCTGTTTATCTGTCAGTCAGCGCTCCCTGATTGAGGCTGTTAATCTGGTCCAATCAGGGAACTCATTCTATGAGGTCCACCTGGATGACTTTGTTACAATCACTACAGATACATTATACTCGGTCCTATCATTTACATATAGTGTCTAATCAATCTATTCAAAGATGTTATTACACAGCTGTGGAACAGGTAGGACTTGAATACAGGCCTCCTGGTCCAGGGGTAGGGACACTAGCACGATGCCACAAGAGGGCCAGCCACAATTGCCACCTTAAGCCATTAATATTGATTGTAAACAGCTGGTGCTGCTGCCTAGTATTTGAGGCACCAGATGAGTCAACCTGAAAACGTCCCATTTGTTCCTACATTGTTTTTGGCCCATTTATAAATTCTCAATTCCTGTAAAATATAAATAATACTAAAGGGATAGTTCTGTAGAAAATGGTTTTGTTAGCATCTCTATAGTCAGGGATTAGGATTTGTTCATTTATTTTAAAAATCTTTAAACAGAATTTGCACCATGCTTTAAGAAATGTAGCTATTAAATTATATATAAAAACAAACAAACAAACAATTTCAGGGGCGGTGAGGAAAGAAAAAATTGTCTTACTTGAACAATAAAAGAATGAAGCCCTTGACAGACTCCATTAGGTGTTTCGAGTTGTGCAAATACAACAGCATGTGTGGCAGTTTTCCCCATGTTTCCAATCCAGAATTTAGCTGCTTCGAAGTCAGGAGAATTGATGATAAATTCCTAATATTCCAGAAAATTAAGAATCACAATAACACCTTGGAAGTTATTACTGGTTTTCAGATAAAAATGTATTAGAAATTATATGGATAATTTCAGTATATAATAGGTTACAAAATGAATACCATTCAAACATTACGTAGCTATCCTTTTACCATTAATATTTGCTGGCTGATCTCTCATGGTTTTGCATAGGCAATCAAGGCTAAATGTAATTTCAGCTCATGTACATTTTGACGTCGGGATTAATTGGAGTCCAGGACTTATGAGACAGAAGATATAAGATAGAAAACAAAGTCATGGTGAATGGCTATTTAATGAGTTAGTGAATGAAAACATGCAGTAGTGTCTCATGATTCAGGTTTGAATTCACCATTGTTTTTGATATGAACTGATGGCTCAACTGAGGTGTTGCAAATTGAACTAAAATTGTGCAATAAGGAGCAAACAAGTAAAAAGGTGTGTAGTGACAACAACTGCTCCATACATTAGGACTTCTCTTGACTGTGGAGGTCATTTTTTTGTCAAACACTCACTGCTTTAATTTGTTGAAGGCTGAGCTCCATGGTATAGTATATATAACTTTTAAAGCGCATGTTGCTACAGCACCTCGGATTCCTTGGGAGCCATTTGGCTCAGTTGGCTGGATGGCCGATGATGGCCAACTAGGATGGATTCTGAACCTGCTTCGGTATCTGACCTGTGCTGGAAACTGCAGCACTGTAGGTCTGGTTTCAGGTATAGAACTCAAGAACAAGATGAATAAGGTTTAATAGACCCATATGCTATTGAGAGAAATTTAAGCAAGGTGGGCAAAATTGAAACCCATAAAACATACACAATTAATTGTGAAATAGATTATAACCCCCAAGAGTTAACAAATAATGCACCTCTATCAAATATTAATCTGTAAAACAAGGCCATTGAATAACTTACTTTTAATATTCAACAATTATAAATAAGAGCTTGACAGGTTTCTTGGTTCATATTGTACTGTACTTCAAATTATATAGGACCCTTGCAAAACAAAAGACCAACTCATCTTTCATTTTTGCTTTACTTTTTCATTAGTGAACATGAAAAACAGTGATGATCTCAAGGGGAAATGCTACGGAACTCCAGTCGTTACAAACTCCAGTCAGATTTACTACTATTAATGACAACTCTTTGTACATGTCACTTTACTGGAGATGGATGCCAAGTGGGAGACAGATGTAACATGGTCTTTGATTCAAAATAATCCTGGACAATTGGTGACGCGACATTTCCTTTCTATTTTCAAATGCTATTGAAATTGGCTTAGTTTGAGTATTTTTGTATTTTAGCATTCCTAAGGTAGTATAATTATGCCATAATGTACAAGACAATTACAAAAACTATAATTGTGTAATTTGGCCAGAATTGCTTTGAAATCATATTGGAGCACAAGTATGATTCACTAATTTTTGAATAGGAAGATTCAAAGCACAAAACAAGAGTCGGAGAAAAATAATTATCAGAGGTACTATATTGTTGATTATTCATGTGGTTTGATGCTAAGTTGATTTACAATTGTTATTTCAAATACACTGAGTTCTCAATCTCAGCTGTTATTAGTCATTAACAGCTAGTGATTGGTGGCTTAGCACTTTAAGTAGATCATGGGGAATTTTCCCAACTCATCATGGCACACCCTCATTGATACCCCAGCAGCTAGCTGTACATTAGCATTAGCAGGTTTAAGCCTATCCACTGTGGGACAGGAAGGCTTCAAAACAGGAAATGACGAAAAGGAATTCAGGCTGAAAAATGTTGTTTTCTCCAGACTTACTTCATACGGGTCTTAGAATTACTATGGTAGTTTATGGCTAGCACATAGTTGTAGGAATCCTTTTCAATTAACCACCATAAATGCATCATGTGTGTTGCAATAAACAAACTAATTCTGACATTAGAAGCAAAACCTTTCAGTATGCATAACTGAATTACTGAAGGCCTGCCTTACTGCAGACTGAACTTAGTTGGCTGATTCTGATTCTTATAGCAACTTTGCTAATGGCGTGAGGTAATGGGACAGGTTCAGTCACAAAGTAATTCCCGGCCACTGCCTGGAGATAAGGAAAGGTTGATGCACCAATGTATGATGATGGGTATAAGAAGATCAAATAAAGAACCAAAGGAGCAGCTGGGGTTTGTTCAATTTTAATTTTTCAGTGGAAAAAATGTGAAATTATATTTGCAACTACTTGCTACCTGAAGGGCTCAAATGAGCAATCTTTAATTTCAGAAAACTGCAGGCTAATCGGTTTTGTTTGGCAATCCTAATGCATAGTGAAAGAAATGTCTTGAGACCTGTTCATCATTCTTCATATGCAACTTTGTCAAAGACTTAAAATGGTTACATATAAAACTGAATTTAAAAATATAATACAAAGAAAGCCAGTATCTTCCAATGTACGGAGGAATTCACCACTAAGAGAAAGTAGAATTGACTTCAGCATTCATACATGAAACATCTGACCTTTTATTTAATCTATGGATCACTTTATGCTTAACTTCTAATGAACTCTAAAGAAGACAACAATTTTTTTCTGATTTACAAGGGATAGGTAAAGTTACCTACAGCTTCACTTTAGCAGTAGAATAGCCTGCTGTGTATTAACTATGCTATAAGTTTCCTAATAAAGCAAAATATCCTACGAATTACAGTGAGCTACATAGGAAATATGCTAACCATTCGGAATAAAGTAAACTATTATTGAAAAGCATTGTAGAACATTAAACTATGATTTCTGCTTCCAAATACAGAGATATGAAAATCAGAAGTTAATAAGTGAAAACAAAATATTCTAAGCATGTTGTAAACTATTTATCTCTGAATGCATGATACTAACCTTTGTTTCTGGATCATACTTTGCTGTTGTTCTCATAGCTCTAGCATTGCTGCCATGGCTCAGCTCAGTCAAAGCAAAACATCCAAAGATCTAAAATAAAGGTTGTGAAAAATATTTGAAAGAACGTACAAAAAAAAATACAAAATAACTCCAAAAATGAGTAAGTGAGAGTAATGAGAGTGAAGAAAAAGTGACAGGGAAATGAGTAATCACAAAACTGCTCCAAAAGTTCTCTCAAGTCATCACACGTTGTTACAAGAAACAAGTACACTGTGAGCAAACCAACTTGCATTCCACATTTGTTGACATTATAAGTACTCAGAATCAAAAATGTAGTGTTTCCTGTAACATTAGCGTAATTTTTTTTAATGGATATTTTTGAAAAGTTGGACTCCTGAGCCATTATATGAGAAAATAAAACAGAAATGAAATGCTGCAAATGTAGGAAATCTGAAATAAAAACAGAAAATGCTGGAAATACTTAGCAGATGAGGAAAGAACTGAAATATTAATAATTTATCTATACAGATGTTCTCCAACCTGCATGTTACTTCCAGCATTTTTTATTTTTACTTTAGATGAAAAAATAAGCTGAGAAGATGACACAAAGAGACTGCAGAGGGCAGTTAGGTGATTGGGCAAGAAGGCAGTAGAAGGAGTTTTATTTGTAAAATTACCCACTTTGGTATGAAGGAAATGGAAATATTTCTTGAAAAGGTGATAAATTGCTACATGTTGGTATTCAAAGATTCGGTTGTTCTTGTACATACGTCATAGATGGTTAACATGCTTGCACAGCAAGCAATTACGAGGGCAAATTGTACGGAACCTTTATGGCCAGCAAATTGGAACATTAGTGTAAGGAAGTCTTGTAGCAGCTATACAGGAATTTATATAGGGCTTTGGTTAAATTACATCAAGACACGTGCACAGTTTTGGGTTTCCTGCCTAAAGAAGAATATACTTGCCTAACAAGCATCTGTCATTCTGATTCAGAATGTATTTGAATGACAGAATGACAGTACAACACATTCACTCTTGGACAGCAGACAGATGGAGTAGACTGGACCTTAAACCTCCAGAGTTCAGAAGAATAACAGATGCTTTTATTGAGATGTACAAGGTTCTGAATGGGCTTGATAAATGTGTACCATAACGATTGTTTCCCATGGCCAGAAAGTCTAAGACCAAGGAGGGGGTGGGCTACAGACTCATTAGGAGGTCAGACATTCAGAATTAAAGTGAGAAAAAAAACCTATTCTTGGGAGGTGAAAGGGACAGTAGAACTTAGTGAAATTACAATTAGGAGGGAAGTGGTAATAAGCAAACTGAAAGATCAAAGCCTGATAAGTCTCCTGATCCAGGTGAACTTCTTCTTAGGTGACAAAAGTGGGGACTAATGAGATAGAAGATGCATTGGAGTTAATTTTTCAAAATTCTCTATAATCAGAAAAGGTTCTATCAGACTGAAAGGCAGTAAATATAAATCCTCTACTCAAAAAGGGAAGGAGATGGAAAACAGGGAACTATAAGCCAGGTAGTCTTAAGTCTGTCATGGGGAAGGCGAAAAATGTCAGAATCAATCATTAAAAAGATTCTGGTTGTGCACTTAGAAAGCAAAACTCAAGGTAATCACAAAAAGTCAGGATGGCTTTGACAAAGGGATATCATTTTCAACTAATTTATTGAAGTTTTTTGAATGAGCAATTTAGGTGGGGGGAGGCAATGTCACTGTGATAGTGTCACTGGACTAGTGATCCAGGACCCAGGCCAATGCTCTGGGAACACGGGGTCAAATTCCACCATGGCACAAAGTGAAATTTGAATCCGATAAAATCTGAAAAAGCAATTTATATGGTGGATAAAAGTGAGCCAATGGATGGACTATATTTAGATTTCCAGAAGATATTTGATAAGGTGCTGCATCCAAGATAACTGTGGAAAATAAAAGCTCATAGTGTAGGGGGTAACATAGTGGCATGGAAAGTTGATTTCCTAGCAGAAAACAGAGTATGCATAAGTGCGTCTTGATCATTTTGGCAGGATGTGACGAGTGGAGTCTCACAGGAATGTGTGCTGTGGCCTCAACATTTTACAATTTACATCAATGACTTAGATGAAGGGAGTGAAGATATGGTCGTTAAATTTACAGATACACCAAGATAGGCTAGCAAGCATGTGGTGAAAAAGACATTAGGAGTTTGTGAACAAACATAGATACGTTGAGTATGTAGGCAAAAATCTGGAGACAGAATATGTTGTGGAGCAATGTGAAGTTGGTGACTTTGGCAGAAAAAAAATTAAAAATTGTGCATTACTTAAGAAGAGAACAACTCTGGAATTCTAAAGTAGAAGGATGTAGACATTCCAGCGCATGAATCACAAGAAGTTACCGTGTAGGTACAAATATAATTTAAAAAAAGGCTAAGGGAAGGCTCTCCTTTAATAAAAGACGAATTGAGCATCACAGTAAAATTGTTACGTTTCATTTCAACAGGGTATTTGTGAGACCACTTCTCAAATATTGTGTGCCATTCTGCTCTCCTTACTTAAGGAAATAAATGCATTGGAAGTAGTGCAAAAGAGGTTTACCAGATGGATATGTCAAGTGAGTGGATTGTGTTAAGAGAATAGGTTGGACAGGTTGGGCTCATTTCCAGTATAATTTAGAAGAGTGAGTGATGACTTGAAGTATGAAAGATCCTGATTAGTCTTGACTTTGAAAGATGTTTCTTCTTGTGGGACCATCTAGATTAGGTGGCAACGTTTTACAATAACAGGTCACCCTTTCAGGAATGGGAGAAGGAGAATTTTTCCTCTCATATGGTTGTTCAACTTTGGAACTCTGCTCAGAAGGTGACAGTGGTGGGGTCATTACGTATTTTTAAAAATAGTTGGTGAACATATTTTTGTTATGTTGGGGAATCGAGAGTTAGAGGTAGATTAGAATGTGGAATTCAAAATACAAACAGCTCAGCCAAGATCGTTTTGAATGACAGTGCAGGCCCAAGAGGCTGAATGGTCTACTTTAGCTCCTATTTTGTATGTTACTATGCCCCACTTCAGGAAGTTATGTATAATCAAATTATTACCATATTCCCTTTTTACAGTGCATCCTAAAGAAATAGACTTGAAACTACTGAATTGCTTGAAATGTCAAAAAACATACCTCCATATTGATTACCTTCTCCACAAACTGATGATGCCTATTGGATCCAGAATTTAAAACTGTTCCTCCAAACATCTGAAATTAGCAGGTCAAATTCTAATTAATGAAGATTTCACTAATCAGAATAAAATCAATACTCACTTTGTTTTTCTAGCTTATGCATAGAAATGTAATGAAATAGCTTCAAAGTATTAAAACATAAAACGATCCTGATTAACAAAGACAAAAATTCAAGTCAGTAGTGGTTCTAACTACTCCCTGCTTACCAATGCATTTCTCACATAGCCGTCAACTTATTTTGCAACAGTCTCCACTCAGGAACTATACTTCTGTAGAGATCTGACACCATTTTAAAAATAGAACATTGGCTGAAGGAAATTTGGGCTGTCCTCGGGATGTGAACAGTGGTTCACTTGAATCACAGGATATTTATCTCAGTCCCCGGACATCACTACAGGGGTGCTACAGGGTAGTTTCATTAGCCCAAAATCTTCAGCTGCTTCATCAAACAAACATTCTCTCTCCATTATAAGATCTGTACTAGTGATTTTTTAATGATGATTGAACAATGTTTAGCACCATTCAAAACGGGTAGTTTATGCCCGTATGCTACAAGACCCAGACTATATTCAGGCTTGATACATTCAGGGTTGATATGGAGCAGGTTACATATGTATCACATAAATGTTGGCAATGGTCATCTCCAATGAGCAAATCTAAACATCTCATATTGATATTCGAAGTTATTACTATCTCTGAACTTCTCACTATCAACCTCCTTGGGGTTACTATTTACAAAAAAAAACTGACTTGTACCATCTATTCAAATATGGTGGCTACAAGAGTAGGACAGAATCTAGGAATTCTGCAGTGAGTATCTCACCTCCTGACTCCTCATAGCCAATCCACATTTGGCAAGGCACAATTTAGGAGTATGATAGAATACCTTACACTTGTCTGGATCAGGCCAGTTCCAACAACACTCAAGCAGCCTGACACTATTCAGAAGAAGATAGCCCATTTAATTAGTACCCATCCACCACCTACAACATTCTCTCAATCCCCAATACACAGTGGCATTAGTGTGTACCACCTACAAGATAACCTGCAGCAACTCATCAAGGCTTCTTGGACAGCACCCTCCAAATGCACAAACTCCAATGCCTAAACAAACAAGGGCAGCAGATGCAAAGGAACACTATTAACTACAGGATTCTCTCTAAACCACACACCATCCTTACTTGGGACTATAATCACTATTCCTTCACAGTCACTCAGTCAAAATCATGGAACTCTCTTTCTACTACCACCATGGGTGCACCTACACTATACTGACAACAATGGTTCAAGAAGATGGCTCACAAAGGGCAATGAGGGATGGACAATAAATGCTGATCAGAACAATAGCGCCTACATCAACAGAAATATTTTTTTTTCCAAAATCAAGTTATTTCTTTCTTTAGAAAAAGTTTTTTGGGAATTATGGTAAATAAGGACAAAACTTAGCAGTACCTCAACACATGTAAATCTAAGTATCAGTAACCACAGGATGAATCAATTTTACATTCAGCTTGAAAGGGAGAAGACTGGGGCTAAGTCCAATATTTTAAATAAGGGCAACCATATGGGCATAGTATTGAGCTATTTAAGGTGAACTGGCATATTAGGCTAAAGGACAGATCAAAAGAGACAGTCCCAGACTTTTAAGCAGAGATTTTAGAATACTCAGAATAATATTCCCATTATAAAGGGAGGAGCCCCCCCATGCCCACACCCCCACACCCTGTCTGTGTTTAACGAAGATAGGAAAAGCATCAACCTTAAGCAAAAAGCATATAACTGCACAAAGGTGAGAGGCAGCTTAGATGACTGGTCAGAATATAAAGAATGGTCGAGAAGACTACAAGGTTGATCAGGACTAAGAAATTAGAATGAGAGGAAGTTAACTTGGAATGTAAAAGACAGCAGGAGATTCTACAGGTATTTAAAGAGGAAAAGAGTAAGCAAAAGTGAGTGTTGGTCCTAGAGAATGTGAGAATGAGGAGACAGTAGTGGATAATAAGGAAACAGCAGAAGAAATGATAAATATTTTTCATCTGTATTCACCACAGAGAATAAAAAAAATCAAGTTATTGCTATAAATCAGGAGGTGGAAGGGAAAGGACAGCTTAGTGAAATTACAACCACGAAAAACATGGTAATAAGCAAACTGACAGAACTACAAGTTTCTGGACTTCATCCTAGTGTCTTAATGAGGTTGTAAATGCATTCACATTAAATTTTACAAAATTCCCTAGATTCACGAATGATTCCATTGGACTAAAAAATAGCAAAAATAATCCCTGTATTCAAGAAGGGAGGAAGGTAGTAAACAGGAACTATTGGTCAGTTGGCTTGATGTCTGCTATGCACAAGCGAATAGAATCAAGCATTAAAGACATCATAGATGTGCCTGTGGAAGAATTTAAGATAGTCAGAAGACAGAGTATGGCTTAGTCAAAGGGAAATTTGCTTAACCAATTTATTGGAATTGTTTGTTGGAATGAACATGCTGTGGCTAAAAGGGAGCCTATAGGCATACTATTATTAGATTTGCTGAAGGTAATTCATAAGGTGCTACAACAAAAAAAATTTACTGCAGAAAGTAAAAGACCATAGTGTAGGGGATAAAATATTAGCATGGACACAAGATTAACTGGCTGATAGAAAACAGAGTGCATAAAAAGGAGTCTTTGTCTGATTGGCAAGCGCAGTCCAGCAGGGATCTGTGCTGTGGCCTCAACGTTTCATATCAATGACTGAGAAGAGGGGAGCAAAGCCATAAGAGCTAAACTTCAAATTGGGCAAGTATGTAGTGAAGAAAATAAGGAAGTTGCAGACAGATATAAAATAGGTTCAGTGAGTGGGCAAAAATCTGGCAGATGGAATATAATGTGGGAAAATGTGAAGTTGGGTACCTTGGCAGGATTAATTTTAAAAGAAATGTTACTTAAATAGAAAAATGACGGCAAAATTCTGATATGCAGAGAGATTTAAGTGTTCTGGTGCATTAGTCACAAAGAGTTAAGTGTAGGTACAGCATATAATCAAGAAGGTGAATGGAATGCTGTCCTTCTTTACAAGAGAAATTGAACATAACAATAAGGATCTTATGTTTCAGTCATATAGGCTTTTGCTGAGATCACATTCGTAAACCAAGTGCAGTGATGGTCTCCTTCTTTAAGGAAGGATGTAAATACCTTAGAGGCAGTTCAGAGGTTCATTAGATTTGATACTTGAAATAAGTAGGTTGTTTTATTGGCTATTTATTTATTCACATTTCTTATTTGTTCCCATTTAAGTTTAGAAGAGCAAGGGATGACTTGAAGCGTAGAAGATCCTGAATAGTTCTGACAACGCGGGCATGGATAGAATATTGGATTTTGTGGGTCAGTCAAGAACTAGGTGGCAGTGTTTTAAAATTAGCGCTTATCCTTTCAGGACTTCTTGCTACAGGAAGATCTGTAGCTCGGATTGCTGTTGGAGTTTGTTGGTTGGTTTGCCGAGCTGACTAGTTTTCATGCAAACATTTCATCTCCCTTCTAGGTTACATCGTCAGTGCTGTGTAGCCTCCACTGAAGCGCTGTTATTCTGTCCCACTCTGAATTTATACGGTCCGGTCTGTCACAGTGGGCAATCTTGTTTCTAGTTTTGTACTATAGTGGTACGTAGATGGGGTCTATTTCAACATGTTTGTTAATTGCATCGATGGTTTCCTGACAAACAAACAACACCAAGAAGACATCGTACGCCCCAACAGACTGACCACCCTACCCTATGTTAAAAACACATCAGAACAGACTACAAGACTTCTACGACCTCTTGAAATAAGGATAGTACCCAAACCAACAGCCACACTTCGCCAGTTATTCTCAAAGACGAAAGATGCCAAATTCACAATGAGCAGGGAAAATGTGATATATAAAATACCACGCAGCAACTTCAAGAAACACTACATAGGACAATCAGTAGGAAACACGCCACCAGGATACGTGAACACCAATTTGCATCAAAACAGCACGACCAACTCTCCCTCATTTCAATACACTCCGACATAGAAGGGCATCAATTTGACTGGGACAAAGTTACAGTACTAGGACAAGCAAGACACAGACAAGCACGAGAATTCTTGGAGGCCTGGTTTTCAACCACCGATGCAATTAACAAACATGTTGAAATAGACCCCATCGACATACCACTACAGTACAAAACTGGAAACAAGACTGCCTACCATGACAGACTGGACCGTATAAATTCAGAGTGGGACAGAACATCAGTGCCGCAATGGAGGCTACAGAGCACTGACAATGTTACCTAGAAGGGAGATGAAACGTTTGCATGAAAACCAGTCAGCTTGGCAAACCAACCAACAAACTCCAACCGCAACCCAAGCTACAGATCTTCATTAAAACATTAAAGGAGAAAGATTTAGAGTGGACCTAAGGGGCAATTTTTTCACACAGAGGGTGGTGCATGTATGGACTGAGCTGCCAGAGGAAGTGGTGGAGGCTGGTACAATTACAACATTTAAAAAGCATCTGGAAAGGTACATGAATACGAAGGGTTTACACAGATATGGGCCAAATGTTGGCAAATGGGACTAGATTAATTTACGGTATCTGTTCAGCATGGACAAGTTGTTTCAAAGGGTCTGGTTCCCTGCTGTATGGTTCTGACTCTAATGCAACTTCATTACTAATCTAAGAAAACTGCAGCTGAACCGGCACAAAGTGAATGCTATGCTCAGGGCTGGCAACTGTTGGATGTTGAATTGCTCAATAAAAGGAAGACAACCACAGAGAATGAGGATTAAAAAGAGGAAACAAAGAGAGAATGGATTCTGACTGTGTTTTGACAATAGGGAGATTGATTTTTGGAGAACCTCCGAGAGATTGAACTGCTTTGTTTCGCTCTCTTTCTAGTCTCTCTTCAGTTACTAAGGCCTGGTATCCATTGTTTGAATCGGTTTGTTGAACCGGAAAATTACAATTCTTTTATTTTCTTTTGAATTTATCTCTTAACTGCGTCTGTTTGTGAGTATTGCTTATGATCAAAGAAGATTGGGCTTTAGATTTTAGATATTAATTAGATTGCTTTGTTGTTTGTTTTCTACTAAAGTTACATTATTAATGATGCAATTTTTGTTTAAGTTATAAAATCTTGGTGTCCAAGATCTGTTATTCATAAAGCTTGGTTAGGAACAATTGAACAATTTTGAGGGTCATTGAATGATTTAGTTTCACTGAGTTGTGAAGCCAGTGATGGTGAGGCTGATTGGTTTTGGCTTGCATTTCCACATCATACCATTCTTCATTACTCCACTGAACTCCTTTGTTGCCTCTGATATCAGAGTGACTAACTTTCCCTAGTTATCAACTGGGAAGATCAATCTTCAGTCCTCTCCCATTATAAACTCTGCACCTTCCATTCCCCCTCCTTAGCTGCAGTCTCAAGTGAACCAGACTTGTCACAACTTTAACCTCTTATTTAACACCAAGCTCTGTTTCTGAAACTTTATCCTCTGCATTACTAAGACCATCTACTTTGTCCTCCACAATATTGCCCAATTCTACATTCTACTTCCCTAATCTATTATGCCTGAAATCAAAAAATCTGGCTCAAAATAAGAGATCAGAGTTGAAGTGTAACAACTGTCCAGAATTATGAATTATTACAAGGCACTTACCAGTTTAGTTAGAGAGTAGACAGAAAGTAGTGACCAGTCATACATTCCTAAACAATGTACAACTGCAAGACCATTTAGAGGATCTTGCACAATGTCTGCCAATGTCAGGAAGTCATATTCAAACAGCCGTTTACAGCGAAGGAAAGTCAGCTCACGATATTTCTCAACAGATATATCTTCTCCAGGTTGACGAGCAAAAAGTGGATCATTTTCGAGAATTCTAAAGACATTGTGCTGTTGATGGAAAAGTGAGAAATAATTTCTCTTCCTGTTGCAATAGTTCCAATGCAATATATACACAGAATTATCTTGTCAATTTTGAGCTTTGGATTGCCAATAAAACTACTAAAAAGAACTACATGATAGTTGTCAGAAATTCAATATCACTGTGATTGATTAAATTATTAAGTTTCTTTTTAACAAGAGTAAGCAATGACTTCACACATCAACAAACCCAAATGCGAAATCACCATGTTTAATGATAAAGCAGTACAAAAGACTTCTATCAAATGTGAAGTACAAAATTTTCAAGAACAGTTCCTGCTGATTTTTATATAAAATCAGGAATGACAAAAATTGGTGGGAATGAAGTTGAGTAATGAAAATCATAGAATCCTACAGTGTAGAATCAGGCCATTCGGCCCAATAAGTCCACACTGACCCTCCAAAGAGCATCCCACCCAGAACCATCCTCCTACGCTTTCCCTGTAACCCCGCATTTCCCATGGCCAACACACCTAACCTACACATCCCTAAATGCAATGGGCAATTTAGCACAGCCAATCCAACTAACTTGCACATCTTTGGATTGTGGGAGGAAACTGGAGCACTCAGCGGAAACCTACGCAGAGATGGGGAGAACGTGCAAACTCCACACAGGCAATTGCCTGAGGGTGGAATTGAACCCTGGTCCCTGGTGCTGTGAGGCAGCAGTGCTAACCACTGCACCACCATATTGCCAGTGATGCAGTTTGACAACAACTGGGCTTTTACAGGTTGTTGGTCCATTGTCTAAAGTAAAACAGAAATTGAGCTGGTAACATGAGAGGGTTAACAGATAGGCAATTCTGCACCTACGCTCATCACTTCATTCAATGTTCGGCGTCACTTTAGAACATAGAACATTACAGCACAGGAACGAGTCCTTTAGCCCATGATGTTGTACTGAAAGTGACACAGAATTAATCTAATCCCTTCTGGCTGCCCTTGGTCCACATTCCTCCATTCATTGCATATTCATGTACTTATCGGAAAGTCCCTTAAACACCCCTATCACATCTACCTCCACCACCACCCCTGGCAGCGTGTTCCAGACTCCTACCACTCTGTAAAAAACCTGCCCCTTCGAACTTTATCCCTCTAACTATAAATGCATGCCTCCAAGCATTAGACATTTCAATTCTGGGAAAAAGATTCTATTAATCCAATCTGTGCATCACATAATTTTATAGACTTCTATCAAGTCTCCCCTCAGCCTCCACCGTTCAAGAGAAAACAACTCCAGTTTTTTTTTCTAGCCTCTCCTTATAGCTCATTGCCTGGATGAGAGGTTATCGCCTGATAAACCTCTTCTGTCCCCTCTCCAAAGCCTTCACATTCTTTCTGCAATGTGAGTACCAGAATTGAATGCAATACTGTAAATTCAGCCTAACCAAAGTCTTATAAAGCTGCAACATGACATCCTGACTCTCGTACTTAATGCCCCAACCAAGGCAAGCATGCCATACACCTTCTTTACCACCTTATCTACTTGTATGGCCACTTTCAGAGAGCTATGCACTTGAAGCCTAAGATTCCTCTGTACATCAATGCTGTTCAGGATCCTGCCATTAACTGCATATTTTCCCTTAATATTTGGTCTCCCAAAGGGCAGAAACTCACACTGCCATTTCTCCACCCATATCTGCAACTGATCTATATTCCACTGTATGCTTTGACAACATTCTACACTATCCACAACTCCACCAATCTTTGTGTCATCTGTAAACTTACTAACTCACCCACCTACATTTCCATCAAAGTCATTTTTATATTTTTATCTATCTATACTATATCATATATAGTACAAATGCCTGCGGAACACTATTGGTCATGGATCTCCATCCAGAACACACCCTTCCACCACTGCCCTCTGCTTTCTATGGGCAAGGCAATTCTGAATCCAAGTGACCAAGCCACCGTGGATCCCATTCATCTTAATTTTTTGAATGAGCCTACCATGACGGACCTCGTTGAAAGCCTTACTAAAATCCACGTAGTCAACATCCACTGCTCTACCCTCATCGATCACTTTCATCACCTCCATGAAAAATTCAATCAAGTTAGTAAAACATGACCTGCTCTGCACAAAGCCATGCTGACTGTTCTTAATTAGGCTAAGCTTTTCCAAATGCACGTAAATCCTATCGCTGAGAATTCTCTCCAATAGCTTCCCAACTACCGAGGTGAGACCCACCGGTCTATAGTTTCCTGGGTTATCAACTATTTCCCTTCTTGAACAGAGGAACAACATTAGCTACTCACCAGTCCTCTGGGACCTTTCCAGTGACTAGCAAGGATACGTAGATCTTGGTCAAGGCCCCAGCAATCTCCTCTCTTACCTCTCTCAATAACCTGGGGTAGATACCATTGGGAACTGGGGTCTGTGGGAGAGGGTTATTTCTGGTGTCTTCCAGTAATTCTGCCTACGGTATCATGTAACCCTGATGCAAACTGAGCACAGACATCAGTACAAAGTGAGCCTTAACAATGAATAATCAAGAGGGGAATGGAACAGTAATCAATTCCAGAATTATATTAAAAACTGAAAGAACTGCAGGTGCTGTAAATCAGGAACAAAAACAGAAATTGCTGGAAAAAGCTCAGCAGGTCTAGCAGCATCTGTGAAGAAAAAATCAGAATTAATGTTTTGGGTCCAGCGACCCTTCCTCAGAACCAGAATGTTTCAGAATTTTATTACTATATTGAACTTTCCTATGTTTACATGGAAGAGTTAAACTAATTATAAGGGCAATATGTTTCCTTACATTTCAAAATGTATGTAAATACTGTGTTTCAATGACCTGGGCCCATCTGTTGTGTATCTTCCCTGACTATTCAATTCAATTCAGGACTTCGGATGAGGTCAGGGTAGGGAGAAATGATTCGCCTCCCTAAATCAACGTCCTCAATTAGGATAGCAGAATTTCTGCCATGAGCGGTTGCATTATGCCAGCTGAATCAGTAGCCCAGAAACATTATTTAGTGACATCTTACCTTTACTTTGATAATCTCTTCTCCGTCCCAAAACAAGGCCAATTCCTTCCAACTAAAAGAGGCTTTTTTTCGATATAAATCTAATGGGCCACTGGGAAAATCCTGCAATAATGAATCCAAAGTATTTTTGTCAACGCTGCCTTCCTCAGGACAAATTGTACTCATCTCTGCTTCTGATGTGTATTAACCTACAGTAACAAATAAATGAAATTATACGTTTAAAAGCTTGTATCACAACATTCTAGGAAGTAAAAAACACTAGATCCAGAACTTATACTTCAAGGCAACAGAAAAGATATTTTGCACTGGATTTTTCATCTTTGAGGCTACTTTAGGAGTCTCTGGAATGCAACTATTGAACACACAAGCAGATATCCTAGCACTCAGCTAAGCTTTGTTGAAAGTCTAGAGATCATCAGAACCTAAGAGAACAGAAGTAGGCTAATTGGTCCCTCAAGCCTACCTGCCACGCAAAAAGATCAAAGTAGGTCTTCGCCGGGCCTCAAATCCTCTTTCATGCTAGCTTCTCATAGCCTCATCTTTTGATGTTTTAAAAGTCTCTTTCCTCTCTGAATACTTCCAGTGACTTAGCTTCCACAACTCTCTGGGATATGGAATTCCAGACATTCACTAACCTCTGGGAGAAGTTCCTTCACATCTCAGTGTTAAATGAATGTCGTCCTATTTTGTCCAAATGTAACTATATCCAAAGTTTGAGATTTCCCCAGTAGGGGAAACATCTTCTCAATATCTACTGTGTCGAGCGCCCTCAGAGTCTTGCATGTTTCAATATGATCACCTCTCATTCTTCTAAACCCCAATGAATAAACCTGTTCAGTTGTTCTTCATAATTCAACTCTTTCATTCAGAAATCAGCCTAGTGAATCTTTTTTTAAACTGCCCCCAATGGCAGTATAGTTTTTCTTAAATACAGGGACTAAAAGTGTATGCACTGCTTCAAGTGTGCCTTTCCCAACACACTATGGAGTTGTAACAAGTTGAAACAGCTGCATTCCAGGGAAACTAATGCTTGATTGACAGGCCTCACTCTCTGAAGTATTTTGTCAATTCCACAATATTAATTTACACAATATAAAAGGGTTATGAGCTTGCAGCTTTTGCTATTAATACGTCAAAGATTTTAGATGATTGACATATTCAATAGCTTGTAATGAAAGTTTCTTTTGAGAAAGTACTAAGTTATGAATGAATCCTCTTTTTAAAAAAAATCCTGTCATCAGCAAAGTTTTCATTGATGTTACTCAGACTGTATAATGGATGAATAAGCATGGAAGTGCCACAGCTTAGCATGAAGGGTATGAGGGGCAGAGCTTGGTGCAGAAGCCATGAGGGGCTGTGTTGGCTGAGAGGTACAGCTTGGCAAGGGGGACGTTATGAAGACCTTCTCAAGTAATCTTTCAAATGCTTCATAACCTCTCTGAGGTTATGTCAACGTAAGTCCTAATAAAACTGGCCCAGCTCCATGACATTTGCAGATAACTAGGACATGCCTTTCTCAGTAATGGAACTGAACAGGTTAGGAATGCAGGGAATGAGCCCATTAAGTAAACTGGCCTGCACCTGTATATCATACAAGTATAAATCGGAGAAGCTAGGAAAGTTGAGGAATCTCAGATATGGGTCCCAATAGCCACTTTCACACCCCAACAGGATCTCCCTGACACCTGTCAGTTACACTAAAAGCAAGTTATTTGTAAACATCTGGCAACAGTAAATGTCTTATCCATTTGTTTGCTCACCTGCCAGCCTACCTCCCACTTACCTGTCACTCTACTACTCTACTCATTTGCCACCCTACCCACCTATCACCTTACCCAGATGCCTATCCATCCATGTTCCACCTTAGCCCCTTACCCAGAGACCTCACTCCCTCATCCCCGCACTCATTTACCTCATTCACTCACACTCATTAACTAAGAATCACTAAGTAGCATTGAATATTAAATAATAAAAAAACTAATTACACTCAGAATTATTAAAGAATAAGTGTATTAAAAAGGCAAACTAAACAGAAGAAAATCTTTGTAATATCTGAAAAATGCTACATAAGTTTCATTTGGATTATCTTGCAGTTTAAATACTTTGACTGTCTGCTGCTGCTCTTTAAAGAGCCTTGCTGGCTCCTCCGGCATCATGGAGTGTGCAGCATTGGTTCCCTGTGCCACTTCAAGGCCTACCTGTTTTTCTGTGGCAGAAACTCTAGTGAGCAGTCAGCATTGGAAGGCTGTCTATTAAAAAATGAGACAAGTAAAAGGCTATATTTTGCTCTTATAATTGTCATTTGGAACAATTCTGATGTCAATTGGAAGTTCTGGGTGAATTATTCCAACACAGTCTTGTCTGGTCTTCCACATTTTACCCTCCGTGAATTTGAGGTTGTCCAATACTCTGCGGCCCATGTCACTCATTCCCTTATTAACTTGCACCCACCGACTAACATAGGCTCCTGGTCAAGTGACATCGTGAGTACGTGAATATTGACAAGATTTCACATGATTCCTTTCTATCATTATACTCTCCTCCAGCCACACAACTCTCTAATCCAATCTCTTCAGCATATTTGATTTTAACTGCTCCATGATAACTATCATTGCCATTGCCAGGAGCCATACCCCACTATGATTTTAATCGGGGAGGCACTGGGTAGGCTGTCTGTCCATGGCCAAGTAGAGGACCTTAAAGTTTGCATTGTTAATTGCCCAGTACGAGTATCTCCCCCCTGTTCTTTCTTCATTTACTTGAATTTATATTCTTCCTAATCTGTGGTTTCCAGACTCAACACTCTAACCTAGCTGGGGCCCCTCTGGCGATTTATAAAGTTTTTGCATAACTTTCTTTGCGCTCTACTATTCTATTTATAATCCATGGATCTTACGCACTTCTTTTAAAAAAAACTCTCAACTTGCAATGATTTGCAATATGTAAACTCCCAGGTCTCACTGTTCATGCACTCCTGTTAAAAATTTCACTCTCCTCTTATGCATCTTTACATTCTTCACTTGATTTAACACTTATATATCTGCCCATGTCCTCCTCTGTAAACATTCAATTCATGTTTACTAAACTTCAGTTTGTGTCATCTACAAGCTTTGAAATTATGCCTCTGTCTAGATCATTAACGTAAATCAAAGCAAATGGTAGTTCTAATACTGCCCCCTGTAGGCTTTCCACCAGTTTGAAAAACAATGCTCTCCACTATTCTTTCTAGCCCTGATCCAGTATTGTATCCCCACAGTTAGTGGTACTTTAAGATCATTTATTTAATTTTGCTAACAAGTCTGTGATGTGGTACTTTAATTAATGCTTTCCCAAAGTCCATATACATACTAGCATTAGCCAAAATCTACTTCACTACTTCAAATGAACTCAAACAGGTTTGCCAGAAACTATTTCCTTTCGACACACCCATTTTCAATAATGCAATATCATAGTGCTGATAAAACTAAGGCAATTGCAGCCAGTTGATCCTGAAAATGTTACTTCATTAACATCTGCAGGATATGCACAAATTAGTACAGCTCTCCCACAGACCAATCAAACAGTCACAGTAACAGAACAACACTTATCAAAAAACACCTGATAGCTATTATTCCTATCAAATACATCCCAGTTTACTATAGCAAGACTTATCACATAATAGTGAGGGAATTTCTCTAAGTTATTCTCGTATTACTCAAATTGAGGTAATTTTAAGCTCATAGGCCAGGTAGGGGAGCTTCAGGTGGTGGTTTAAAATGTCAAAACTGGAAAACCCAACCAGCCACTCCCAATTTTATGCTTTTAATCAAGTTCTTCAAACTGTGATACCTCTGATGCTGATGGGATTTGAACCCAGTCCTTTTGACTCAAAAGTAGGGAAGGCTAATACTGCGCCATAAGAGTTGCACTTCCAAATTCAATGCAGGTAGGGGGGGTGGCCGTGCACATAAGCTAACTGATGTGCAATTTCCCAATCCACCAGTCTCTCCAGAGCCCCCTTGCATGTTAGATAACAAGGTGCAGAGCTGGATGAACACAGCAGGCCAGGCAGCATCAGAGGAGCAGGAAAGCTGACATTCAGGTCTGGACCCTTCGATATTTCCATCTATTCACTTGTCTGTGGCAGGGAAATAAAGTCCATAAATATAAAAATTAAAACTAAATGCACAAAATAGATACTGGAAATCTGAAATAAAAAGAAATTGCTGGATATGGTCAGCAGATCTGGCAGTATCAATGGGGAGTTAATGTTGTAGGTGGACTATTTTTCACCAAAACACTAAAAAAAAAAAAATTCGATTCTAAAGGGAAAGCAGGAACAGAGATAACTGGGTGCACTTGAAAACAAGTCTTTGAAGGTGGCAGAAGTTGAATATGTGATTAAAAATGAACATGGAGACCTTGGGTGTTTAACATCACAGAGTACAACTTAAGGACATTGTGAAGAACCATTACAAAACATTGATTTGGTCTCAACTTCACTGTGTGTCCAGTTCTGAGAACTACACTTTAGGAAGGTTCTGAATGCTTGCGCAAAGGCACAGAAAAGATTTACCATTTATCATAATAATACACCTAGAATTATTCTGGTAAATCTTTCCTGCACCCTTGCTAAATTGAGGGAGTTCATTAGTGAGAAACTAAAGTCGTTCTCATTATAGAGAAAAGGGAGAGGAGATCTGATTTCTGTAAGGTTAGCCAGACAGAGAGACAAAGAGAGGGAGAGAAAGAGAGAGCTTGTTTCCATCGCATGCAACATCATTGGCAAAATAACTTAGACATATGCAGAAAAAATGCCTTTTATACATAGTGAGTTGTTATAATCTGGAATACACTGCCTGGTGATGCGGGAAGCTTCGATCATGGCTCACAAAAGGCAATTACAAAAGCACTTAAACACAGAAACGTAGAAAATAGGAGGAGTTGGCCATTTGACCCCTCAAGCCTGCTCCACCATTCAATGTGATCATGGCTGATCATTCAATTCAGTACCCTGATCTCATTTACTACCTACATCCTTTGATGCACATAGGCCTAAGTACTATATCTAACTGTTTCATGAAATCATTCAATGTTTTGGCCTCAACTTCTTTCTACAGCAG